AACCAAGATGTCCTACAATAGATAGATGAATAAATAAACTAGTACATCCAGGCAATGAAATATAATTTAGTGCTAAAAAAATCAGCGATTGAGCCATAAAAGGGTTTAGAGGAAACTTAAATACATATTACTAAGTGAAAGAGGTCAATCTGACCAGGTTACATACTATACAAGTCCAACAGTATGACATTCTGGAAAAGAGAAAACTAGGGAGACAGTGAAAAGATGATTGGTTGCTCAGGGTTGGGGGAGGAAGGGATGAATATGTTGCGGAGCACAAAGAATTTTTAGGGCACTAAAAGTATTCTGTATGACACTCTCTAATGGTGGATAGACATCATTATATATTTGTCAGAACCCATAGAATGTACAACACCAAGAGTAAACCCTAATTTAAACTATGGACTTTGGGAGATAATGATGTGTTTAGGTTCATAAATTACCACAAATGTACTACTGTAGGACAGGTTGTACATGCGTGGTGACAGGGAATCTATGGACACTCTGTACTTTCCACTAATTTTGCTATGAAACTGAAAGTGCTCTGAAAAATAATGCTTATGAACTATAAAAAATAATTGATTTTGTGGAATATGACACAAAACAGAGGTTCTGAAGGCACTATTTCTATATTGATATTATAAATAATGGAGGTATAATCTTTTTATCCAAAATGAAAATTATTTTGTTTTACTATGTAAATAAAACATGATTTCTGATTAGAAACAAATAAAAACTAGCAGAATAATTACTTAAAATTCTGACACCTAAACAGTCTCCATTAATATCAGCTTTTATATATTTCCATGCATATGGAGTATAATTAAAAAGTTAGATTATATTTTTGAAACCTTATTAAAATTATAATATATTAAAAGATAACAGTTCACCAGGTTTAAAAATAAATCTATAAATCTTCAGGAAAATGTATTTAACATTAGTTAATGGGAAAAGTTCACAGGAGGACTGTGAGAACACTGTTGTTTTATTCTGTTGTACAAAAAATGTCATGTTTTTAGTATTGAGAAAAATAAACCTTTGGAAGGAAAAAATCAATAAAATATCCTAGTATTTAACCAAATCAGCAGTTCTAAAGCAAATCTTACTTTAGGATAGATGACTGCCGTATTAGATTATATATGGTGTTCCCAGAAACTATGCAATGCCATAAAGGAATACAAGATATGGATGTGCTAGAAGTGGTGCCAAGTAAGAGGTCCCCTCCACAGAAAGTGGATTGGATTGCTCTCCTGACCCTTTTCCTCATTTTGTTGATAACAGGGAAGAACACATGCACCCTCTCCAGAAATGTCCAGACAAAGGGTGTAATGGCTCCTGACCATCACTCTTTCTTACCTCTTTCTCTCCTTCCTAACAAAATATGACTAAACCACCTTAAGAAAGCATCAAATATGTGTGTGTTGGGGGGGGGGCAGGAGGAAAGGGAATACTTAAGCTGTTCCTGAGATAAATACATGGCAAATTGATTTCCCCCTCTGAATCTCTTTCCTTTTGGCTCCAATGGGTATGACTTTCTCTCATACAATGTACCTAGTAAAATTTATGTTTGCAATAGAATATGTAAGTAAAAGAGATGATTGAAGCCAACAAAAGTTACATAAGAAAGAATATATCATTGTCTAGCCCAGATTACTAAAGTTTTACAATGGAAATTTAGATCAAACTGCCAGTTAATAACTTCTTTATTTGTTATTACTCCTTCTACATATTTTCCTTGTTACCCTTTGAGGAAAAGGGTTGAGTATGCTGAAGAATATTTCAATTATTGGGAGTTCCAGCAAAATCAATAATAATAATATAGATTTAGTCTCTAGATTTCTCTAAAATGCATTATAATAATATATGTTTCCCTAAAACTTGATCTGGTTACCACCATAATTCTAGATTTATGTTGGTCTACTCTGCAAGAGCAGGCATTCTCTAACCAATAATTGTAAAGCATGCATGAATAGTATTCCTAGCAATTGTTTCAAATCCTTAATTTCTTCTATTCTGAGTTTTTAACACATTTGTTCTTGGCTCCTGACTTTTGGTCTTATATCTCACTTAAATCTTATTCTTGTACCATAAACTCTCGGTTTTCCAGCACATATCCTGACTGAATGTAACTTGAACTCACTCCTCAGGATCCTTCCAGGAATATGGAAAGTTTTAAGCCCTTTGGACAAAATATATTTTATCTCAAAACAAAAGCAGATTAAACAATTGATTAATTTTACTAAATACTGAAATTTGAATTCCATTCCTGACCAACACTTTTCATTACTTTGCTAGGGGTATCTTTAAAAAAAACTCTAATATTAAATGCCACTATTTTCTCACCCCCTCCCTTTTACCTAATCCTTCACTCTTACAATATTTCTTGGATGCTAGGTTCTCTTAAGCACTCTAGGGCATCAATTGTCTCACTGCAGTTTTTAATAAATCAAATTCCAAGTAACAAAGACCAGATATATGAGTAGTAAAAATAATTTTTAAAAAAGTAAATAGTAGTGAAAATAGTGAAAAATCAATTAAGTAAGCTGAAGAGGAGAAGGCAAATAAAGCCGACAGAAGATGGAACAACAATTTCACACAGAGTATTCAGAGATGAAACTTCAAATTTAAATTCATCTCAATACTTTAAGAAGTTGAGCAGAGGGTAATTTCTGTAAAATTCTATGAATCAGAGTTATAAGCCATGAAAAATTATAGGACAATGTATATATTTATGTAATATGGTTAAACAGTTCTTGATAAAAATGACATGAATAATGTTGTACTTAGCAGAGTTATCAATAACATCAAAGACTTTTAGAAAACTTGTAATAAATATATTTTACCAAAAGATTCATAACACTCAAAATACATATAAACCCCAGTATACAAGGTCTGTCCTGAAAAATTCCAGCCACTGTTAATATAACAAGATTGGTTTGTGTGACATTGATGTAAACTAGCAGCCAAGGAGACTAGACTGGAATGCGCATGCATGAACAATAGATAACTTCACTGTACTAGTCAGTTAGGGTGGTAGACACTATTGAGTGAGCATGTGTACTGTGTGGCCATCACATTCAAAATGACTGAATGGGTAGAGCAACAAATATGCAACCAATTTTGCATTAAGCTTGAATATTTCTCCATGAAATGTATTCAACATCTTAGATGATTCAGAAGGCCGCAGCCATGGGCAACTGGTGATTGGCAGCTTCATTACAACAACACACCCATTCATGCATCATGTCTTATGCAGACATTTTTGGTGAAACAGCACATCACCCAGGTGGCTCAGCTCCCCTACAGCCCAGATTTGGTGCCCTGTGATTTCTGGCTTTTCCCACAACTAAAATCACCTTTGAAATGAAAGATTTCAGACCATCAGTGAAATTCAGGAAAATATGACAGAGTAGCTAATGGCTATTGGGAGAACCGTGTAAGGTCCTAAGATGCCTACTTTGAAGGGAACTAAGACATCATTATCCTGTGTGCAATGTTTCTTGTATCTTGTAGCGTCTTCAATAAATGTCTCTATTTTGCATAGTATATGGCTGACTTCCTTCTGGACAGACCTCATACAATGATATATTCCATGTAACTGCATAGATATCAAATGGAATAACCTTTGAAATATGAGGATTTTACTCCTATTGATGCACATAATAGTCACCACAACATAACCTCTATCTACATATAATATATGTGCATATGTATATATATGTGCATATGTATATGGATATACATATATATGTGCATATGTATATATACACACATATCTGTATGACTATTTCTAAATGTGTTTGCGTGTGTGTATATGTGTGTGTGTGTGTGTGTGTGTGTGTGTGTTTCTCCAAATTGGTTACTAGCATATTCAAATTGGTTAACAGTATACAGCATTCAGTGAAGGTCTTCTCTGTATAAAGCACATAAAAACAAGTGACATATCTAAAGTCAGTAAGTTTATAATCTGCATAGAAGGCCAAAAGACACCTCACATGAACTTTATCATTTTATAAAGCATACTGTCATCTGGTGCAAAATAATATAGTGGCACTGAGTGCTCATGTGGGAAAAGTTTTGAGTAGGATGCCTTTGCCTTTTAACCTTATGCTGTTATGCAATGAACAATATGACATTTAAGGACTTGAGGACATTTCCGTGCCATATTTAGAACACGTCCTCAATTACATTGAAAGGGACTAATGACTATCTGCACCTTTTTGTAAACCCTTCTAATCATGTTAATATAACAGAAATATTTGTAACTCAGGCTACTCAGGAAGAGTTCTCCATATGATAGAGTTATTTATCACAAACAGTGCTTTACAAATAATAAAAAGTTCAAATTTGTTAATTATAGTACTACATGTCTTCTTTCTACCATTACTTAATGTCCAAATCAAAACAAAAAGCACAAACTCTTGTGTCAGAAGACCTGGAGACAAGTCCTAGCAATGATACTTAACTATGTGGCTTTGGTGAGATAACTAGCTCCTCTGAGCCTTAGTTCTCTTATTTATAAAAACACTTATCTTACAATGTTGTGAAAAATAAATTACCTATTACATGCCAAATACCTAGCTCAGTGCCTAGTAGACAGTAGGCAATCAATAAATATGTTTCTTTTACTTCCAGTGTGTCCTCAAAGCAGTACATAATTTAGCATAAAACAATGAATAAATATTATACTATATGTAGAATTATCAGCTTTTAATAAACTAAATATTTTTGTTTTCAACTACCAAGAAGTAATTTTATACTGCTATTAATATCTACTTTCAATAATTAATAAGAAAAATATATGAAGCAAGAATTATAAAATGTCTGTGGTAAGAATAATTAATTGATCACAAAAACTATATTTGTATATTATTATGTCTTTTCTCACATCAAGAAAATCACAAGCAGAATATTAACAATGAAAGATATTTTTTAAAGATTGAAGAAATACTTACCAATGTTACATAAATTATAATTATAGTATCTTAAATTATACTTACATGTTTCCATCGTGCAAGCTTCCCTGTTATATTTGTTCCAGGCTTAAAAATCAGATCCTTAAAATCCTTATCTTCACATCTATATGCGCAAATCAATTTTGTTTCACGTTTTCTAATAAATTTTCCTTGATGTTTTTTATACAGAAACAGGGAGCTGAATAAAGAGGGGGATGTAGCCATTTATTATTTTGACAAAAAAGAAGAAAGAAAACATGGTGATAAATTTAATGTAATATTTGTTGTCATGTTAATACTATACAAAATTATTTAGGCACGAAAATTTGGTCATCAACATTCATCAGGGATAAATGAGTGCTGAGAAATCTGTAGCAATATAAATCCACAGATATTTCCATACTTATATCTGACTCTGCATTTCATAATAAAATGTCAGAAAGAACATGATTAAGTTATCTAGAAAAATATAAAGTGACGTATCTTTATTTTTCCTCTCCAGTGAGGAAGTAATTTTTGTGTTCACCTAGGAAAACTGCGGTAGCACAGCAGTGTACAACAGAATATAATGTAAATAACAAAATAATTTTAAATTTTTTATTAGTTCCACTAAATGAAAAGGTTAAAGAAGTGAGGCAAACTTTAAATTTGTTTATTTAATCCAATATAGCCAAAATATGCTAAATGGAATAAACAAACTAATGTCATATTTAATACTGAATGTTATAAAACTTTTGGCCCTTCACAAAAGTTTTTGCTGACCCTGGAAGGGCTCTCCTTTGCTGCCTTTTCTCCTAGTTTTCTTTGTTAAAGTTTGAGATTTGAAGATGGTGCAGGGGTGACCAACTCATGGCCCATAGGCCACATGCAGCCGAGGATGGCTATGAATGTGGCCCAACACAAAATCGTGAATGTACTTTAAATAGTACGAGGATTTTTGTGATTATGTGTTGCAATGTATTTAATGTGTGGCCGAAGACAACTATTTATCTTCCAGTGTCGCCCAGGGAAACCAATGGCAGGGCAGATAAAGTGCTTCCTAGATAAGATCAAGTTAAAGGAGTTCACCATCATGAAGCCCTCATTATATGAAATGTTAAAGGGATTTACCTAAGAAAAAGATAAAAACTGCGAACAGTAAATGACAACTCACAACTGTCAATAACTGAACCTAAAACAAAAACAAAAACAAAAACAAACTGAGCAAACAATTAGAATGGGATCAGAATCACAGAAATGGAGATTACATGGATGGGTTATCAGTGGGGAGGGGAAGAGTGGAGAATGGGGGAAAATAAATATAATTGGTAGACACAAAATAAATGGAGAGGTTAAGAATAGTATGGGAAATGCAGAAGTCAAAGAACTTGTATGTACAACCATGAAAATGAACTAAGGGGGATGGGAAATGCTTGTGGGAGAGGGGGTGCAGGATGGAGGGAGGTAAAGGAGAAAAATGGGACAACTATAATAGCATAACCAACAAAATATAATTTTCCAAAAAGATATACAAAAGATCACACGAGAGCACTATGAACAACTATTTGCAAACAAATTGGACAAACTAGAAGAAATGGAAAAATTATTAAAAACTTACAAACTACCAAGACTAAATAAATATAAAGTCTGAAACCATAAAATCCCTAGAAGTAAACATAGAATAAAAACTCCTTGGCATGGCTTTTGTCAATGATCTTTTGGGTATAGCACCTGAAGTGCAAGAAATAAAATAAAAATCAACAAGTGGGATTATATCAAACTAAAAAGTTTCAATACAACCAAAACAATGATCAACAAAATGGCAAGATAACCGACAGAATGGGAACAGCTATTTACAAACCACATATATTACAAGGGATTAACATCATATATATATATATATATATATATATATATATATATATATATATACACACACACACACACACACACACACACATATATATGTGTGTGTGTACATATATATATTTGTATATTTGTATATTTATATATAATATATATTTAGACATTTATATATATATAAAGAACTCATAAAACTCAATGACAAAAAATTAAATAAAAAGTGGACAAAAGACCCGATTCGACATTTTTCCAAAGAAGATACATCAGTAGTCAAAAGTGACTCAAAAGATGTGCAACATCACTAGTCATTAGGGAAGTGCAATCAAAACAATGAGATATCACCTCACACTTGACAGAACGGCCATCATCATAAAGATATGAGATAAATGCTGGCTAAGATGTAAAGAACACTCTTACTCACTGTTGGTGGGACTGTAAACTGATATAGCCATTATGGAAAACTGTATGTAGGATCCTCGCAAAATTAAAAACAGAACTACCATAAGATCCATCAATGCCACTTCTGGGAATATATTCAAGAAAAAAAAAACACAAACTAGAAAAAATATCTCTACCCCATGCTTACAGCAGCATTATTTATAATGAGGAAAGCATGGAAACAGAGTGTCCCTTGATGCATGAATGAGTAAATAAGTTGTGGTGTGTATTCACAATAAAGTATTATTCAGCCATTAAAAACAAACAAACAAGGAAACCTTGCCATGTGCAACAACATGGGTGAACCTGAAGGCATTATACTCAGTAAAATAAGTCACACAGAGAAGGACAATACTGTATGATCTCCCTTATATGTGGAAAAAAACACCAAACTCATAGAAAATAAAGTCGGATTTGTGGTTACTAGAGGAAGGTGTGAGGGGAGGGAGAACTGAAAGAAGGTGGAAAAGATACAAATTTCGGCTCTAAGATAAATCAGTATTAGGGATATATCTACAACATGATGACTTTATTTAATTTAACAGAGCTGTATGATAAATATGAAAGCCATTAGAACAAATCCTTAGAGTTCTCATCATAAGGAAAAAACATTTTTTTCTTTTTTTGTATCTATATGAGATGACAGATGCTAACTAAACTTATTGTGGGAATCATTTCACAATATACGTAAGTGAAAAACACTTATGCACCTTAATTTATACAATAGTATATGCCAATTTTATCTCAACAAAACTGAAGGTGAAATGTAAAAATCCCCAAAATAAAACTGAGATAATCCATTGCTACCAGATATGCCTCATAAGAAATAATAAAGGAAGTTCTTCATATTAAAGGCAAGTGACCTCAAATTCTAATTTCATCCAAAGAAAAAACAAATTGTGGTAGGAAGGAAAATTATGTATAAAACAATGTAAATTTATATTTATACTCCTTTGTGCTGTTAACTAACTTAGAAAGCAACTGTATAATGCAGTATATACAAAATCATATTGTTGGGTCTAAAACAGGTAGGAGCAATGGTGTTTTGGAGTAATAAAATGACACCATATGATAACTAGAATCTATAAAAAAAACTAAAGAAAACTAGAAATGTGATAAATTGGATTGTTAATATAACAAACTCAATATAACAAACTGAATATATACTTGCTTTTTTTTCTTAGCTCCTTTAAAGAATGTTACAGTTTATAAAGTGATAATTATAATAATGTATTGGTGGGGTGTAAATATAGTTGTCACATGTATAACATTAACAGCATAAAAAGGATGAAGAGGAAATAAACATATATAAATATAACATTTTTATATCTAAGTGCAAGTTATAAATCTGAAGTAAAACATATATCATAAGCCCTAGAAAAAAACCGGACAATAATTAAAATATACAATTAAAACATCATTAAAAGTATGTAGGTGGTATACTATAAAGTATACACTTAATGCAAAAAGAGGAGTAAAGAAGAAAAAGATAAACAGAAAGATATGAGACATTATCTGTGAATAATGTTAACATTTAGGTTATTTTAAATCAGTATATTTTCTTAGTATTTTAGATTATTAAATTTACATGCTCCTATTTTAAATATAATTTTGATTTTTAGTGAATTTTCTTTATAAAATAAATTATCTTACTTAATGATAATTTTATAACTGTTCATGAAAGGTAAATCCATGCAGTGAGAAGACGTATAAATCATTTCTATAATCCATTGACATCAAAACTTAATTTCCTTCTCATCAGAGTTATTTATTCATTTATTCTTTCATTCATTGTTCAAGCATCCATGTAATCAAAATGCACTGTTCTAGATCCTGGGGCTATCCTGTAAAATTCCAAAGTTCATGGCTTTACAGACTGACATTGGAGAAATTTAATGGTGGGAGATTCTTTCTCTCTAGTTAATAAAAATTTTAAGAAAAATATTCAGCCCTGACTGGTGAGGCTCAGTGGAATGAGACTGGCCTATGAACCAAAGGGTCACCGGTTTGATTTCCAGTCAGGGCACATGCCTGGGTTGCAAGCCAGGTCCCCAGCTGGGGACATGTGAAAGGCAACCATACACTGGTGTTTCTCTCTCTCTCTTTCTCCCTCCCTTTCTCTAAAAATAAATAAATAAATAAAATGTTTTTTAAAAAGATGAAAAACTCAAAAATTAAGTTTTAAAGATACCATTTATTTCATGTAAAAAATATTTGCTTAATATTTCCATCCCATCTCATTTTTACTTGAGGATTCCTAAGTAATATTTTTATTAGTAATTGACTTACTGGCCAGACTACTGGCCAGAGAACCTGAATTATCAGGTTCCATTAAAAATTAATATTCTCATTAGAAAATAATAAATAACTCACGAGTTTAAAAAATGAGGTGGTTATAAAAATTAGGCTTGCCTCTAACAAATGGATGTAGTAATCCATTAAGATCCCATTTTGGACAGTTGAAACAGTCTAGATGTCTACAAGTCAAGGAAACTCATGTGGTAGGGAGGGTTGAAATTTCCATAGAAGTATTTACATTGACTTTAATTTTCCAAGAATAAATATTATAACATGAAAATAAAAAAGTTGTGGCATACAGTAGCATTTAACTTAGGGGTCATGAACCCTGTGAAATTGCAAGTAAATTTTATTTGAATATGCATATATAGATTACACTGACAATAATGTCTACAAATTTCATCAGCTTCTCTAAGAAATCTATGACCCCTCAAAAACTAAACATTGGAACAGACATTAAAATAAACAAAAGTGTTCTAAAAGAGTAGTGATAACAAAATAAATAGCAATAAAAAGCACAAGAAAATAAGCAACAGTCTTGAACATTTAAATTGCATAATGAATCAGCAAGATGGCAGAGGAAGAAACCCCTCCTTCCTCTGCACCCAAATACACCAATTC